ACCAGCAGTTAGCGTAATGGCTATGTCGCTGGACTCCCACGTAGTCGACCGCGGTTCGTGTCCCGGACCCGGTGACATCCTATGTCTGCTACTCTCTTTACTAACTAGCCTGAAACCCTTCTGTTTAACAATATAACTGCTTACATAAAACCCCCACTCCCCTCAAAAATAATTAACCTACTTAATTCAACTTCTATAACTACTTACATAAAAACCCCTAATAACTGATCCCCTCTATAAAAAAAAAAAACTACTTCGGTCAGGGCTACAGTTCTGACTCTGGGCCTCCAAGCCTCAGGCTGTAGTCACTGGCCAGCGAATAAAGACTCCCTTTAACCTTAATCTGGTCATTCATTTGGTGGCACTTTACAACATAAGCAACCTTACCTTCTGACTGCCTATAAAATGTCGAATCACTGCCTGAAATGCTTCCTTCATTCTCCAGGTTTGACTCAAAAAGCCTACCTCCTAAAGAAAAGAGGGCAAGAGAGAGAGAGAGAGAGAATATGAATATCAAAGATCTTCAATGAGCATTGGCGCACTGTAGCTCAACTGGTAGACCACAATGACTCCCTTTGAATTAGCTTTGCAAATAGATTTAAAGGAGCACCAAGTCCCACAGTAATATTACAGGGTTTGAGCCTGACTTTCCCTTCTCACGCTGATTCCCAGGGGAGCCCTGCTGCCACCTCTGACTTCCTTCCGATGCTTTCCTCAGAGGCAGTGTGAAGCCCAAGGCAGACTAATACACGGACGTGTACAAAGTGTGGAGTCAATTCCTGAACCTGCAAATGATCCGTTGTGTGACCTTGAGCAAGTTCGCCTCCCTAACACTCAGCTTCTTTCCCAGGAAAGTGGGAGAATCAGTAGTTTTCCTTTCAGCTGTGTGATGAGGCATGGCGTCCATAGAGGCAATCCCAACTGTTGCCTTGAACCGATGATCTCTTACCATTCTCTTCTGCAGAAAAGAGTGTATATGGAATGGACCCCAGAACGGGGCAAGGTAAGGCATGGCATTTGACTGCTTAAGGCTTACTGCCTTTTCTCTGCTCTTCTCAGTCAGAACTAAGAACACACGGCCTTGGTCTTAGCTCCAAGAACACTTGACTAAGTCTTTTTGTTAAATTAGGGATTTTCACTAGTTGTGGTCCTATATTAATGTATTGTATGTGATTTTTGATGGCAGGAATAGTGTTTTGCTTTGTTTTAATCACTGTAATCCAGCGCTCAATACAGCATGAAGACAGTGGTTGGCTTAAAACATTATTAAATTGGATGCTGGATATAGACTGACTGGTAGAACCAAGAAAATAAATACAGGGCTACGTGCCTTAGCTCAAAAAGGGGCGAATGCCATTGATAGCATGCCAAACCCAGCACTAGGCCTTACAGACACATCAAACACCCTGTGCTTTCTTGGATGGGCTCCAATAAATGTACCCTCAAGGGATTTGCTGTAGGAACCGGTGGTGGGTTTAGCGGGCTGCTGACTTTATGAGATAAGCTGTTAAATGCAGTCTGTCGCAGTCATTCAGCCTGACTACACACCATTGTTTGTGTCTGCAATTTTGACCAGATTTTCACAATGCCCAAAGTCCATGAACCAGTCCCGTGGCCTCGTGGTTAAGATGCCAATCCCATAGGACCAACTGCCATTCAGATCCCAGACCCAGGAGTTTGAAAAACATGCTGAGTGTGTATGTGTGCGTGAGCCCCTCATCTCAACAGGATGGAGAAATAGAGAAGGGATTGCAGCCTGACTACGCCTCACTGGAGGTGCTTCCTCTTCCTTCCCCCATCTCTTTGGTGAGTGCCGGCACCCTTCAGCAATTAAAAAAATATTTTAAAAAAGAAAATGCCCGACGTTCACTTAGTCTAGCTCTGTGACCTTGAGGAAGAGACTTTATTTCCCTGGGTCTCAGTTTCCTCACTTACGAAGGAAAGCTTTAAGATGAGTCATCTTGGGGCCAGCAGGTAGCATGGAGGTTAAGGCACTGGATTCTCACATGGCCGGCTGTGGTTCCAGTTCCAGTCCCAGCCATGGCAGCTTGAAAATCACACTGGGAGTGTGGGCGTGCAAGCCCAAAACCCTGAGAGGAAACTGGAGGAGAAGGGATTGCTGTGTGGCCATCCACCCTGAGGGGTGATTTCTCACTTTCCCTCTCTCTGTCTCTCTCCAGTAACATCCTATGGCAAATAAATAAATAAATAAAAATAATAAAAATTATTCTTGGTTCACAGGCTGTGGACGTATCTCAGGGCAAGTCTCTTATTTGGGCTGGCTGTGTTCGGTGTTCACTCCTTGATTAGCCAATAGTCCATGCATACGTAGGTGACTGGACTTGGGCTCAGAGTAGAAATGCATTGGTGAGCAGAGCTGGGAACTCTCCCTGCCCCAGCAAACTCGAGGATCTAGGGGACAGCATGAATCAAAGACCTATATAAGTAAGTACAAGGAGTAGCTGTGCTAAGTGCTCCGATGGGGTAGTCCACAGTATAGTATTCAGCAGGGAAGACTGAAGTCAGTGAGGAACCAAGCACAGGAGTTCGAAGAGGTGGAAGGGCACCCAGGCAGAGTACACTGCTTGCACTGAGGCCAGCAGTGGGAAAACAGGGTGTACTAGGGGCCCGAGAGGCTGTGTGCTGGGCTGCAGAGAGGAGGAAGCATGGGTGAGATGACCTGGGGACAGACCGTGTAGGTCATGGAGGTCTCGTCTGTGTTTGGATCGTTCTCCAACAGCCACGTGAAGCCATTAAAGCTTTCACGGAGGGATGCGTGTATGTGTAGAAGGGAAGAGGTTGTAGAGTTAGGAGGAACGAGGAAAAGGAAGCCCTGAGCGCAGGTATATTCCAGAATGTGGAATTGGGAAAGGAAATGGCAGAGCAATAAGTGGAAGGAAATGCAGCCAAGGAAGAGTTTAGGAAATGAAAGAGACTTGGGTGTGTTTATAAATCAATAGGAAGAACTCAGTTAAAACAGAAAGAAATCAGATGCAAAGAAGAGGGGGGAAGCAGGAAACAGAGAAGGGTTGTGTCCCCAACTATGGCAGTGTCAGGGCGAAAGAGGAGGAAGAGGAGGAACAGGAGGAAGCCCCTGCCTGGTGTACCCCCTGCTCCCTGGGAAGGAGGAGCCGGGTCATCTGCTGAGAGGTCTGGATGACTGGGGAAGTATAAAGAAAGAGGAGATTTGAAATTTTCCTTAATTGAGCTCACTGGAGGAGCAGCTCTGGTTTTGCATAACTTTAAATCTTCTAGCCAACACTCCTCTCCCTCTGTTTCCCTTTATTTTGCAGGTGTGCACATCAGTGTTATCGAGCATGAAGTGATTGCTCCCCAGGGAAGGAAGCACTGAAGCAGCAGCCAGACATCATCCCGTCACTATTTTTCATGAGTGGGAGGAACCTCTGGCTTCACGTGACTCAGCATTTTCAAACGATCCCATTTGCCAATCATATCCCAGGTGAAAGACGCAATTGACCTTTTTTTTTTTTGAGCGGTTTTTGCTATAGGGCACGTGCCCTCGCCAAAAAAACAGAGAGACAGAAATCGAGAAATCACCCCCCAGGGGGATGGCCATGCCACAATCCCTTCTCTTCCATTCTCCTCTCAGGATCTTGGGCACACATGCACATGCGCCCGGCATGAGTTTAAGCCACTGGGTCTGGGACTCAAACCACGGTTGACTACATGGGAGTCCAGCGACATAGCTATTATGCCAACTGTTGGTCCCAACAATTGACCTTTTTAAGAATCATGTCAAAAGCAGATATAAAGTGATAATAAATAGTACAGGGTTGACTTGTCCCCTTTTATTTATCTAATGCTAAATAAAAGCATATATTATTTATCCAAATGTCTGAAGATTATGTATACTTAGAATGATTAATTTTGCCTTTTCATGGAACTTATTTTTAGGGTAACTGTTAAAAATGTCATATGGGAGGAGGGCAGCAGGTGGCGTGGTAATTAAGGCACTGAACTCCCTCACGGCCACCCTCAGTGACAGCCTCAGACCAGAGGCTTGAAAATCACACCAGGGCCATGTGCATGCATGTCCAAAATCCCAAGAAGAGAATGGAGGACAAGGAACTGAGACATGGTCATATCACCTGTGGGGTGATTTCACACTTTTCTTCTCTCTGTTTCTGTCTGGTGAGTGCATGTGCCCTGTGTGTGTGTGTGTGTGTGTGTGTGTGTGTGTGTGTGGGGCGGGGCGCAGAGCAGTCTTTACCATTGGACATTATTTTATTTATAAATGTGCTTGTTAATATTTGGTTCCTCCACTATAATTGGCACTCAGCTGGCAAGGTCTTGCCTATCTAAATAAGGCAGGCACATAGTAGGTGTTGAATAAATGTTTACTGAAAGAACGAATGCATTTTAGATCTAACAAAACTTATGAGTCGCCTTTTTAAAAATTTTTTTTTCCAGAAGGCATGTGTACTTGCCAGAAAGAGACAGAGAGAGAGGGAAAGTGAGAAAGCACCTCCCATGAGGAATGGTCATGCCACAATCTCTTCTTCTCCATTCTCCTCTTAGGATTTTGGGACATGCCCAGCATGTCTTTGGAGCCACCAGTCCCAGGACTCAAACTACACAGTTGGCCATGTGGGATCCAGCTGCCCTGTCACACCACCCACAGGCCCGTGAGTCTCCTTTTAAGCCTAATCTAGCCACTTGATGTGGGCTCCAAAAAGATAAGAAAAGAAGCTAGCCTGGGAAGAACAAATGGAAGTATGAAGTGTGCACATGATGGGCAACCCATAACATTCTGTGGACTGAATGCATTTCAGTGGAATGAATGCGATTCGTTTTTGTCTTTGTTTCACTAGAGAGTGTGTGGGCTCTCCAAAGAGAAACGGAGAGTGAGGTAGAGGGTGGCATAACCACCCTATGGGGTATGGTCATGTCACAATCCTTTCTCCTCTCTTTCTCTCTCTCTCCTTTTGGTATCTTGGGCATGCATGCACACCCACCCAGTGTGATCCTCAAGCAGCTGGGTCTGGGACTCAAACCATGAGCATGCCATCCTCAAGCAACTGGGTCTGGGACTCAAACCATGAGCATGCCATGTGGGATTGGCTGCCGTAACCACCATGTCCTGGAGCTGGCCTGGAATGAGCTTCACAGCACATACACTGGTCTGTGTAGGGCAGATGATGCGAAGGGGTAAGGAATTTTACACGGAGCATCCCGGAGCCTTACATGGCATAGATTTAGCATGTTATCTTCTGACAGTTAAACTCCTGTAAATAAGCACCCTTACATACAGCTGGAAATGGGACTATCTTATTCATAACTGCTAACTATTGTGACGTTCTAGCTAACTAGAACAGCTGTAACTTAAAATAACTAGTGGGTTTAAAAAAACACATATACTGGGACCAGCAGTTAGTGTAATGACTATGTCACTGAGCTCCCATGTAGCCGACTGCGATTTGAGTCCCGGACCCGGTCGCT